GCCTGAAGGTGCCAGGAAAGGCTTTATTAAAGAGGAGACACTTAAATTAAACCTAAAGGCTTGGGTAACAAGTATCTATTGAATAAGGAGCTAATCAAAGACAGAGGCTTGAAATAGTGTGGAGTATTTATGCAACTGGAAATTGTTTAACAAAATATGGACCAGGGAAGAGTTATAACGTGATGAGGCCAAATCAGAAAACCTTATGCTATGCCATCTTAGACTTCAGCCTAAACTAGTGGTGGGGTGGGGTGAGGAGAGAAAAAGCACTGAAAAACATCACCTTAGGAACCAAGGCCAGGGGGTATTTAACATTGGGAAACAGCAGGACTCACTAAGAACTGGCCAAAGTAATCTAGGAGCTGATGAGAGCTTGTGCAAGGAATGTGTAAGTAGTAATAAGAATAAATGCACCAGATAAGCCATAATCCGGGGAAAAGGAAGCTACTGAAAATACTGTCTGGGAGGTGGAATCTCCTCATCTGAGTTTTTCTCCCAGGGTCACTCTCATGCCTGATACTTACACCATCAGAAGTTCTTTCTCTAAACACTTTAAAAGTCCCCTACTAAAACGGAACTGGTTAATACATTATAGTGTTGGTTAGCTAATGCTAAGATGGATTATTAAAGTTTACTGCAAGTGAAGGCAACTTTGTAGGGAGGGGTAGGGCCAGTCATGAGGGGAGAAGAAAGGGACACAAAGCAAAAACAAGCACAATGAGTTCAGGTAGCTAAAAGGGAGGCAAAGTAACTTCCTGTGTCACCACTTTGGCTAGCCTGGCTCTGCTCTACTATAAAGCCCATTTTCTGTCAGCTTGAGTGCTCTATGCCAAAACTCTTTCATATGAGACTACATAAGCATACATAAGGATGTCTATTATGTAGGCATTACAGCTATATAAGGATAAGAACAATAAAATAAACCCTAGCAAAGAAAAAGAACTGTGACTTCTAACTAAGGAACACCATGCGGTGACAAGTTAATCCAGAAATTGTGCCCTTAGGAAGTTGTTTAGAAATCGGGTCATCTCAGATGGAAACCCTTTGACTATAAAGTGAAACACTGGCTCCTATATTTTCATTTCCAGTAAGTGTGAGTGTCATGTTTACCTTGGAACTCTGTCAAATACCAAGATGCTCTGCCCCATAGTTCACAGTATTTATATAGAGGGTCAAATGGGATAAAAAGAGGCAAAAGCTTTGTTGTACTATAACTGTTCCACGTGAGCATAGTAGCCTCTCTGACTCATAGGAGAAAAGAGGACAGGTGGGATCTCAGGATCAAGCCTTGCGGGGACTGCTCATCAGTGATGGTCATAAAACTTGAGTGCTTTGAATGCTGATAAGCAGTATCCACAGTACCTTGAGTACCTAAGCTAAGAGATTAAAGTTAACATACACTGTGAATTTAAAAGTAACACCAGAGAACAAACATTTTAAACAAGAACTCTTATTATAAAACCAGCCTCTAAAATGAAACTCTTTTGTCACATTAAACACATAAAGAGGAATTTATATATGACTAATTACTAAAATCATGTTTTAGTAGAATTAGGAAGGCCTAGATCATTTCTGTAGACTAGCCTCCTCTCCTCCCCCGCTTTTCTTACAAGAAGAAAACTAAAGTAATAGTGGAACATAGTCTAACCTGCAGTTTTCCTGACTCCAGGTCTAAGGCTGTTTTTTTTCTAAAAAATTTATTTTAATAAAATAACTCAAACATAAAGAAAAGCATAACAACAAACATCCAGGTTTTTAAAAGATGTTTATATATCATATGTTTTAGATCTTTTTTTAAATAAAATACTATATAAATCAGGTGATCCTGATCCCTCTATCCCATTCCCCCACCTCCCTCTCCAGAGGTAAATAGCATACTGAAGTTGTGGTGTGTTTCACCCTTCCTGCTCATGTTTTCATACACTTACCAAACAATTATATATCCCAGAAACCCCACCATGCCATGTTGTCACAGAAAGAGATGACCCACAAAACAAGGAAGAGTCCCTCACTCTAGTATGTTTATAGGCAGTTTAAACTTCTGGGGTTTGGCTAAATATTGCAAAAAGAAACTAGGACACAACTTAAAATCTTTTTTAAATGATACCTACAAAAGGATCTAAAGAAGTGTTCCATTATTATTTAAGAGTGAAAAATAGATTGAGCATATTTAGAATGTCTAATATTTTTATTATTCTTCTCTGGTGTTTCATATTTGTGAATCACTTGTTTATAATGACTTAGTGTGACATGTCACCCAACAGTAGGCAAGATGGATTAAGCAACTTAACATGTAAGAATAGTTTCTGCTTTAATGTTCGGCTCACAAGTTGTGATTTAATGAATATTAAATGGAGTGGAGGAGTCCATCCCATCAAAATTATACTTTATGAGTGCCAAAGCCCTGTTGATACAAAAGTAGACAAGACCCAGATCTCAGCAACAATTACACAGTAGGGGCCCTCCCTAGTAGTGGCACAACTGGTTAGGATGCCACACTACAAACTAGCCATAGCACTGCCCCGAGTTCTATCCCCTGCTGGGGGTGGGGGGTGACCCACATGGTGCGGCAGCCCTCTCCTGTCTCACCCACTGCTCTCCTCAGCAGTGTACTTTGTCAGGTAGCCTGTTCTGCTCCCCACTGTGTCTCTGGTAAATCCACTCACCGCACCTGTGCCTCTGGCCTGTACCCCAGTTCTGTATGCATAAAGAAATAAATCTTTAAAAAATAAATAAATAGGGCCCTCACTGATGGTGCAACGGTTAAAGTGCAGCACTGCAAGTCACAGCACATCACAGCAGCTTTAATATTTAGCTCCCCTGTTGCTCCCCCCAACAGTGTACTTCCTCAGTCTGCCTGTTCTGCTCCCACTCTGTCTCTGGTGAAACTACTTACCATTCCTGCACCTCTGTCCCAGTTCTGTATATATAAATAAATAAATCTTTAAAAAATAATAATTACATAGTAGTGCTTGATAAATGTTCTAACAGAGGTGTCCATAGAGGGGTTAGTAAAGTCTTAACTTTTTCTGTGGATATTGTAGAAGACTTTCCAGAAGACATGATGTTTGAGTTGGAGCTACGTTGGAGGATGAGTAGGAGTTCTTAAAACAGAAGATGGAAAGTTATTCCAGATAGGGAGACAATGAATGAGAGGATACAAAGGATGGTAAGATACTTGTGTTAAAAAGACAACTAAGGGGAGATACTGGCGGTAGAGAGATTAAGTTAGATGCTGGCAAGAATTCAAGCAAAAGATAATGATTGCAGGCACAAGGTGACAGGGGGAAGAATTTTAAACAAAATTCAGGAGATAAATTTAGCAGAACTTGATGCTTGATTACAAGCATCAAGAAAGAACATGGAGGAGTTGGCGATGACTCCCAAGGATTTGGCAAATGAGTGGGTAGTGAAGTCATTAACTAAAATAGGAAATACCTCACACAAGATAAGAGCAGGCCTGAGAAAGTTCCCTTTAAGGCACTTTTAGTTGTCAAAAGGCCTGCAAAAGGCCGTCATTGATTTTCTTTTTGTAACCCAGAAATCACCCTTTCCTCTGAGCTGCATGGCATATGGTATACTTTTTCTGTATCTCTTAAATCTGCTGTTATTCATATGCTTTTCAAACTTGTCCCTCCCTTAAATCATGGAGAAAAAGTACTGGGTCTTGATCATTTGTGCACAGCCCTTATTGGAGTCTCTTATTAGATGCAAAAGGCCTTCAGTTAAAGCGGGTTTTCAAATAGGCAGCTCCATCAGATACTCAGAAACTGCCAGTTAGCATGTATCAAAACAATTCACCAAATTTTGTTAGTGGCTTACAGAAAACATCTGAAGTATTTGACCCTGTAGCACCCACTTTTACAATAGCTAGCTCCTGTTGTGCTTATCTTTTAAACAACCTTGCAAGGTAGCAGTATTCCTATTTTACAGATAAAGCAAACGAAGTCCAGAGTGTCTAAATAATTTGCCTGGGGTCACAAGATTTGCAAGTGGCCAAACCAGAAAAGGGAGAGATTTGTTCCCTTACAGTGCCACCTTGCTAGAATTAAGCACGGAAATAGTACTGAAAATAGGCCAGAGAATAGGACTTCTGACTTGGCTGTAACTACGAGGGAGCGGCCTCGGATCATCTCAACCACAGTCTAAAGCCCCCGGGGCAGTGCTGGGCCCAAGGTCCACTGGGTGGACGCCCGGACATTTTGTAGAGTTAACTGGGTGAAAGCGGTGTCAGCGATCGCGTCTGTGGACTGTGGTCAGGCCCCCAAGCTAGGAATCGGGGGCGCCACCGCAAGGCATCGGTCAGGCCCAGTGCAAGGGCTCAGAGCTTAGCCCCTTGGGCTTACGAATTTTCGGAAATGCAGGTTACTGGAAGACGGTGGAGTTACCTCCGCCCGTAGGGACACTGAAACACCCCAGGTACCTTCCTGTGTGTCTTGAGGTGTGCAGGGCCATCTTGCAGCCCCCACTCAGCCGACCAGACACCGCAGTTGTGGCAGAGAGCGAACCAGCCTCCAGGCTGTGGAGGGGGGAGGCGCAGCCCGGAGGGCGCCCCAACCGAGCGGGAATGCAGGTGGGCCTTTTACCTAGACCTCCAGGAGGCCGCGCCAGTTAGGGCTCAGCGCCTCCGCCCCGACCCGACACCTAGGGGCCTATAAGCGAAGGAACCTGAAGGCGAGGGACTGTGAGACCGCGAAAGAACGGCCCCAGCCTCGGTGGGCGGAGTGGGGGAGCGGGAGCTACCTGGGCCCAGGGCAGGCGGGAGAAGCGCGAGGGCTGAGAGCCCAGGTGCGCTAGGACTGGGCGTGCCGCGGCGCGTGCCGGGGGAGGGGCGAAGCCAAGGGGCGGGCCCACCGGCGATGCCCTTGAGCTCTGATTGGCTGCAGGCTGGCGAGGCGCGAGGAGGGGGCGTGTCGGGCTCTCTGGGGGGCCGAAGTGCAGAGCAGAGGGAGGGAAGGGCGCGTGCGCAGGCCGAGCCCCCGCCTCCACCTCCCCTCCCCCCCATCCACTCCTTTTGAGGGCAAAAGGCTGTTTTCGGTGTGGACTTCGGCGCCTGCGGACACCCGCCATGGCAGGAGCAGAATGGGGGTCGCTGGAGGAGTGCTTGGAGAAGAACCTACCACCCGCAGAATTGCGGGAGGTGAAACGCCTTCTCTATGGCAAGGAGACCAGGTCGGGGACTCGGTGACCTGGGGATGAGGGGGAGCTTTCGGACCGCGAGTTACGGTCTGGGGGAGGACAGGACGGGGAGTGATTTGGGACCTGTAGGACTCTGAGGGAGCGATGATGAAGTCCTGAGTTGGTGGGTAGTGAGAGGAGATGCGATGACTCAGGAATTGCTAAACCACGAGGTGAATTTTACATGCCACTTCTCCCTCAGTTGCCCTAACCAGAAGGGACAAGTGGGGGATTTTTGTTCTCTGGATCTTTCTCCATGGCCAGCCAACTCTCCTTCCCTGTTTCTAGTGACCAGCTTTCTCCCCACAGGGAGACTTGTACTCTGAGTGTCTGCCTCCGTCAGTGCCCCCAACCAGAATCCCCAGCCCTTCAGCGAATTGTCCAGACGCAGCCCTGCCTGGGAGCACTGACAGCCTTTGATGGAACCTTGGAGACAGAGACAGCTGAGTCTGCTTGGCCAAGGAACCTTTCCCACTGACAAGCCACAAGAATTAGTTACCACATCAGAGCAGATGGTTTCACTCAGTGCAGATGGTTTTCCATTCCCAGCCAGTCTGTGCATCATTAGAATTTTCTGAGGGCAGTGCATTGCTGGACACTGGGTGTATAAACCTGGAAGACACTAACCCTTACACTCTTTTCAGTAGACTCACTTTCTCTTTTCCTAACACTCTTGTGCTTTATTTCTCCCTGACACCCACGAGTTCTCTTTTTCCCCCCAGAGATCATACCCGTGTCACCCTTAAAACAAGCTTATTTCATCCCTAGAAACTGTAGCAATCAGAAAATGTAAATCATATCCTATTGTTCCTTTGCTTAAAACTCTTAAGGGATTTCCCAGGCTTTAGACTGAAATCCAACCTCAGACCCCACGCTGCTCCTAAAGAGACCTTCCGCTTCCTTGCCCATGTGTGGATTCCTTCCATCTAGCCAGATTCCTTCCATCTAGCCAGATTGCGTGCTGCCTGACCTTGTGGCAGTGACCTTGAAGCAAAAGCCTAGTCAATTTGTCTGAAATTCAGAAATGTATATTAGAACAGCGATTCCCACCACCTGTTGTAGAGTTATTGCAGGGTGACCAGACCTGAGATCCAGGAGTGTTTTTACTGCTAGTGGGTAGTAAGTGTAGAACAACTGCCTATAGGCCTGGGAGTGGTACGAAGGGCTGTTCACCCAGAAGTACTGGGTGACTCCGGGCCTCTCCCATGGCTCTTGCTAGAGTACCACTCCACCAACCTATAAAGACTCATTGTGGGCCAAGTCTCTAAGAGCTGAGGCTCCCAAAGGTGTCACAAAACTAGGGTGCCTCAGGCTACAGTTTCTAGGGATGGAATACATTTGTTTTAAGGGTGGTGTAGGTATGCTCTCTCAGGGAAGAAACAGCGAGAACTCGTAGGTGTCAGAAATAAAGCACAAGAGTGTTAGGAAAAGAGCTGTTTCCTGTGAAGCTCAGTGGAGCTCATTCTACAGATCAAGGTAAGGACTACCTTGCAAGAGGCACTTTATGTGAGCATTTGGATTGCTCCAGGGTGGGAAGGGATTATAAGGAATAATGAAATGACAGCCCCATCCATTGATCAATCCTGGGGCTTGGTTCAAATATTGGAGTAAGTGGTTCCCCTTTTCCTGTTTCCTGTTTCCTTGATTCTGTTCCACTCACCACTGAGTCCATCCAGGCTTTACCTCTAGGTTATAAACCTTCATATTTGCTTATTCCTTGAGATGGGGTAGGATTTGACTATGAACAGGACTGCAAATGAAAGATAGGAAATTATTGATTATTTAAAAACTATTCTCCCATTTAAACTGCTCATTTCTCACCGCCAAGTCTGACATGTTCCCTCTGGGAAGGCTGGTAGACCCTCAGGCCCTTCTCCGGATTCCTGCTACACTCCTTACAAGACCACTTCTCCCAGTTACTTGCTGTGCCCAACACAAAGATGATAGTTAGTAAATGAATGAGGTAATGAATGAGGGCTTTTGCCTGTGCCAGACAGGTGACATCCTCAGAGAAGATGAGCTCTCAATTTTAGGACTGCTAAAAGGAAGAAGTCATTAATTCAATGACCATTCATCAAGTGTTTACATTTCTCTTTGGCACTAGTAGTTTCTGCCTCAGGGGCTTTCTGTCTTTTGGTGGTTGCCCTCGATTATGAGAGAAAGATGCAGGAAGAGCTGGAGAGAGTTACAGATGCAGGGTTGGGAGCAGGTCAGGAAGACTTTCCAGGGCAACATGCTTGAGTTGCATCCTGAAGGAGATGGAACATTGGCCTGGAGATAGAACAGCCTCAGGGGCTTCAGGCCAAGGTGCACACACCAATGGAGGAGCCCATTTGGGGACAGGGAGTTTGGAGTGCTGTGAGAAGAGGTGGGAGTGAATGAGGTGGGTCCTGGGGATTCTGTACACTCTGCTGAGGCTCTCATCTGATGGTGGTTGCGGCTTTCAAAGAATTTGGAAAGAGCATGTGTACAATGAGAAAGCATTGTTCTTGGAGACAGAGAGGTGGAAAAGTTCCAGAGGTCACAGGAAGGTCAGCAGCAGTGTAGATAGCAGTGGGTGTGATGCACAAGATCAAGATCCTACAGGCTTCTGGTGTGGGCCATTAGGTGACTGGTGCATTCATCTGGTGAGAAGCAGCTTTGGGGAAGGCTGATGGGTTGAATTGGGGATGCTGCTGTATTACCTGGGGTTGCTGTAACCAGTTGCCACAAACTGAATGGCTTAAAAGAAAATTATTTTCAGTATTCTGAAGACTAAAAGTACAAATTTGAAGTGTTGGTAAGACCATATCCCTCAGAAACCTGGGAGAGAATCTTTCCCTTTTCCAGTTTCTGGCAGCTTACATTCCCTGGCTTATGGCAGTGGCACTCCAGACTCTGCGTCCATCTTGACATGACTTTCTCTTTTCCCTTTGCCCTCCTTTGGATGTCTCTTATGAGAACACTTGTCATTGAATTTAGAGCTCATTGGAATAACCCAGGATGGACTTATCTTGAGATCCTTAATTACATTGGTAAAGATTATCAACCAAGCAAGTTCAGATTATCAACCTATTCATAGGTTCCATATGTTTGTGGACATATCTTTTGCAGGGCCATCTTTCAACCAACAACAGGGACCATTGGGTGGGGGTACCTCAGGAGAGAGTTGTCTTGGAGATAGATGGTTATTCCAGTTGGTGGAGGCTGGGTTGCAGAGTAGGAGAGGCCCAGGTGGAATTCTGGAGAGCCTTGGATATTAAAAGAACCAGAGGAAACTGTCATTATGTGGGAGACCCCAAAAGTGAGGCTGCGTGGTAGGAGGGTCCTAAAGGGCGTAGCATGGATGCTGCATGGAGCAGGGATAGAGTTTTGGGTGGTGCAGTAATATCTACTAGGATGAGGGTAACAAGGAGAAGACTATTGGGAGGTATCCTTGGGAGACAAGGGGCTGAGGAAGGGACGGGAGTGAGGGCTTCAGGGAAGGGGAAAGGAGAGAGCGCAAGTAAAGGAATAAGAGGGACTTTCTCCCCACTTTAATGCCTGCATTTTATGGGAGAGACTCAAGCAACGTTAATGATGGGTATGGTAGTATGTGGGAGGTAGAGAGATGCCCAAACCATGTAAATCATTAAATTAAAAAGGCAAGCAGAAGAGCAGAACATACAGAAGGATGCTGTTGTAGGTGGGACACACATGTAGATAGAAAAGCATTGGCAAGCTACATAAAGTGTCATTAAGAGGGTCATCTCTAAGATTCCTGACTAGGGATTGGACTGGGATGGGCAGGAGAATTCATATTCCGGTTGATCCTCTGTTTCACTGTTTGATTTTTTTTACCCTATGTGCATGTGTCACATTTGTAACAAAGCACTAGTTTAGTTCACCCACACTGTGACTGAAAAAGCCTTTGGGGGCCAGATGTTTATGGACTAGAGCTCAAGGTTGGTAGAGTTCTCCAAGATGAAGCAAGTCAGTACGTGGTGATGGACTGACTGGGTAATAGGAGGGCAGGGAAACCTTGGAGGTGGTGGTCAGACAGGAGGGGTGGGGTGCTGAGGAGAGGTAGAGCCGATTCTCTGTGAGAGTGGAGCAGTCTGCTCTGCATTCCCTCAGGCCCAGGAGAATGAGTCCAAAGAGGACTAGAAGTTGGAGAGCTGGAGGCAGCAGTTGGCATAGACAGCGAGGAGGCGGGGAGGTTGAGCTTCATGTCACGCAGTCACAGGACTGATGGTGGTGGAAAGATAGGGAGCAAGGACAGCTGTGGGCAATGGATGGGCTGAGAGGGCCCAAACTAAGGATATTGCAAAGGTGACACAACTGGACTTACAAGCCTGAGAAGAGCTCTTCTACCTGCCCTCCTCCCCGGGGTGCGCCCGCAGGCTGAAGACAGGGCCTGCCAGGAACTCACTGAAAAGCCAATCTGGCTCCCCAACCCAAGGGCCTAAGGGGAAACAGACTCACAGAGCCTTCACCCTTTGTGTCCAATAAAGTGACTTGTCCTATTGAGCCTGCCTGGGTCAGGCAGTGCTCTCTGACTGAGAGGGGGGAGGGGGCCGGGGGCTGACGCTGATGCAGTCTTGGCAAGGGGAGGCAAAGTGTGGGCACTGCTGCTATTTCTAACCTACTAAAGAAATGGAACCCTGACTAGTTGAAAAGCAGGCTGATTGTCAGGGGCGGAACCGAACTCAGAGCTGTCAGGGCCGTCACAGGAAAATCGCCTGGCAGGGGGTGGTGACAGGGGGCTTGGACTGACAGGGCTGTGATTTTGAAAGAAATGTCTTTAAGAAAATGATTTAAAGTAGGAGAGAAATATTATTATTAGATAATGACTGTCAGGTTATTTTTTGATGTGTTCTCTGGGTATTTCATAACCATCTTGTCCCTAGATGGTAAGCCCTTCCTGGCCAGAGGCCATGTCCCTTGCCCCTGGCGGTTTCACCTCAACACCCAGCACACAACAGTCATCAGGTGTTTGCTGTTTGGCCACTGGTCACTTTAGTGGGAGGTTTTTATAAATAATCCACTTGCCTTTGTTAATAAACCACAAATCAGGATAAGCACTGGGCCTTTGGTCCAGACACCTGGGTCCTGCCAAGCCCACCCAGCACTGGGCATGGAGTTGTACACTGCCCAGTGGGAGCAGCAGCAGGACAGGGTGGTGGGGTCACCAGAGACTTGTATCCTTAGTGGCAGAGTGCCATAGGCCCCATGTTTATGCAATCAGTTCCTGGCCTCTCCGCTCAGCTGCCTCCTAGGCCTGGTTCTCAGTAGCCCCTCCTTCATGGCAGCCTACCCCATCCCCCACACTTAGCAGACCCTCTGATCCTAGTCTGCAAACATTTTTGGGAATTCATACCCTCCCTTCTGTGCTGCCTGCTGGGACTTTAATCCCTGCACTGATTTCAGCAACTTTAAAAGCATCAACCTCTTGACAGCCTCCCTTCTTGGTCAGGTGAAGTCCAGGCTCAATATGAGTCCCTTTTCGGCCTTGCTGTGTCCTCCCTCAGCCTCATCCCCTTGACCAAGCCCAGCCTTCTGGCCTGAACTCAGCCCCCAGGCCCACAGCTCTATGCCTTCTTGCCAGGAACTCCTACTTCCTTTACCCCTGATAAATTACTGGAGAGGACTGGGGAAGTTTTGAATTCAGCAGACTTCATGCAGATTGCCCGCTCTCTTCTCTGCCCTTCAGGAAGCTGGAGCTGCCCAGCAGGGCTTTCGATGCTGCCTTGGAAGGGGACTTCGAGCTGCAGGGATACGCCTTTGAGGCAGCAGAGGAACAGCTGAGGCGCCCCCGGACTGTGCGTGTGGGGCTTGTTCAGAACCAAATTCCCCTCCCTGCAGATGCCCCTGTGGCAAAACAGGTGTGGCCTCTTTGGACCATAAATACGTAAATTGGCTGTGCCCCTCTCTGTGTTTTGAACATGTCCACAGTCCCTGGCTGGCCTCACTCTGGGTCTGTAGCACCTTGGGGCTCACCTGATGCTTCTGCTTTGGCCCTGCCCTCCAGCCTGTGCTTCTGGCTCTTTCCTCTGGTTCTTCTTTCTCTGCTTTCCTCACTGATTGTTCTTTCCACCTCCTACTCTCCTCCCTCTCCTGTGACTGATCCATTGCTCCATTTCCCCATGGTACTCTTTTGGCTGGCTCACACTCTTTTTGTGGAACTCTGCCTCTCAGTCAGGAGGCCACCCCCCAGCACAGACTGGTTAAGACTGTCCCTGTCAGTCCCTGTATTCTTCTGCCTTGATACTAAAGACAGGAACTCTTACACCCCAACATTTGTCAACTGATGATGCCTGCAGGGTTTCAGAAATATGATAGCCATTTGTTTATCATCTTACGATTAATATACATGTGACAGCAGCTGTACTTCCCTAAAGAAACATGTTGCCACTGACGCAAGTGATTTGTTGAATACATTTCTTCACAGTATTCCTCCAGCTGTGCAAACTCTCAAGGCTTTTCTGTGGAGCGTTCCTCGGCATACAGCATGTATAAGAATTAATTCTCAGGGAACCTCCAAACACTAAAGCCAGTTGGATTTCTACTCAGGTTCTGCATCATCTGTTATGTTGATCCTTCCTTTACTTTGTTGAACTAAAACATTCCTGGTTCTCAGTTCCCTTTTTGTCTTTAGATTGTTTGTGACTCTGTCTCCTCTCCTTATCTCATTTTGTCAGGCATAAGGGGCAAGGTGCTGCTTTCATCCCCACAGCACCTAAAACATGCTTTGCACTTGTCAGTGTCCAGCAGCTCACCCTCAAGGACTGGTGTGTGTAGTCCCGAAAGAAGAGGCAGCCTTGAAAGAGTTTGTGCTTGCTGGGCTTCCAGCTTGTTTTCTGTGGTCTTTCCTTGAATATGCACTTGTGAATGTCTCCTGGGAACCATAGCGTGTGCCGAGGACATGGAGAAGATGAGGCCCCTTTCCTCCTGCCCCCAAGGGGCGCATGAGGTCATGGGAGTGACAGCAGAAGAATGAGCCAGCACGATGGGAATGGTGCTGCTGTGAGGGTTCCATGTAGGCTGGGAGCCCAATAGTACCTTGATACACAAAGCTTTTTCTGGAGAGTTGCCCCTCTGTGGACACCACGTGATATGGATGACACATCAGGGAAGATTGGGTGGGTGGAGGAATTGACACAGGCACAGCTGGAAAAGGCAAGTTATAGAAAAGGCATGCTATGATCAGATACCCACAGGAAGAAAGCGGTGGCAGGACAAGGCATCCCAGAACCCTCGAATGAGGATGGTAGAACATGAACTGTGTCCAGAGTGAGGGAAATTAACCATGGAGGGTGACCTCTGTGTGTGATGAGCCCACAGAGTAAAACTCCTTCTTCAGTAAACAGTGTGTATCTTTCCACCCACTCCTCTCAGCAATTCACTAGGCAGATGGTATGCCCTCCTTTCTCCAGGTAAAGAAATAGATTCAACAAAGCAGTGTTTAAGTCTGTGTGGGACCCAGAGCCTCTGCAACTCACTTTTATGCAAATTTTGGACCTGATGAGAATGACTTTCTGAACCTCCCCACCCTACTTATCCTTTTATAGCTGGCGGGGTGGGAGCTTCACATTGGGATGAGTTCTGACAGTGTTCTCAACCAATGGAACTATGGGTTCTTATACTTGTGTTTTTAATTGCCAGGTCTCTGCCATTCACAGACGCATAGAGGCCATTGTAGAGGTGGCTGCAATGTGTGGAGTGAACATTGTCTGCTTCCAGGAAGCATGGAGTAAGTCTTTCTTGGGGTGCTTTCTCTATTGCTTTCAAACAGTAGTGTATTATCTCCATATTGCCAAGATTGCCCGCTAATTTTTTTTTTAAAGATTTATTTATTTATTCATACAGAACTGGGGTACAGGCCAGAGATGCGGAGGGTGAGAGGATTCACCAGAGACAGAGTGGGGAGCAGAACAGGCAGATCGATGAAGTACACTGCTGAGGGGAGCAGTGGGCTGGTCAGGAGAGGTCTGCCACGCCATGTGGTCACCTCCGGGGCAGGCGGGAATCGAACTCATGCGGAAGCGGCTTTAGATTCTCAGTGCAGTGCTTTAACCCGCTGTGCCACCAGGGAGGGCCCCGCTAATTTTTTTTTTAATCTCTTTTCTCATTTATAGAAAACTCTTTGTCAAAACACAAAGAAGCCAGGAACTCCTGCCCACCCTCCTAGTATGCCTCAATATATTGTCTGGTCCAGTCAGTTTTTCCTCCCAAGTTATTATGAATCCATTCATTCCTTCCTCCCAACTCCTTACCACTGCCCTTGTCCAAGGGTCCATCTCTACTGGGCTCTTCCTTGATCTCCTTGTTCCCAGACCACTGTACCAGCTGGTCTCTAGCTGGAATGCATCCTCCACACCTAGCCTTATGAACCCTGCTCAAGCTCCAGGTCTCAGCCCAGAGCCACTATTCCTATTTAAAGCTCTGCTGCTGTTATAGGTACCTGGTACCATGTACCTTTTCTTTCATTTTCATTTTTGTCAAAAAAAAAAACTCATGATTTTGAGTTTACAAATTAGTCTGTTAAGTCTGTTGCCAAAAAATAGCTGTCCTCTACCCCAGAGGTAACCATCTTCAACTCTTAGACAGTTCTGTTGAAATTTAACTTTGTGTTGCTCCTTAGAAAAATTTTCAGTTTTGTATCTGTTGCTTCCCACTATGGATGATGATAAGATTGATCCTTGTCCACCTTCTGCCCCCTACACATATGTATACTTCCTGATCCATCGCCCAACCATTCTTTAATAAGCCATTGTATAAACCTTGATTTCTTTTCCTGAGTCATCTGTTTTCCATGGAGTTTGCTTTGTTCTCTACATACTTCCCACAAATTCTACCCCAAGCTTTCTTCCAGTTTCCTAAATCTCCTCAAAAGAGTTAGATCCATAAAGCAGCTTATCAGTTCCATCTCTTTGAAGGAATGTGTCCCAGAACTTTCTGACAGTTTTGCTCTGAATTAGTTGCACCCTCTGCTGGTTACACAGCTGTCATTTTGCCTTTTCCTTTGCCTGGCCTTGTGTTTCTCCTATCCCACACCTTCCTCTTTCTTGCTTTACTCCCTCATTTTGGTTGAGTAATTCCCTTGGGAGAAAATACAGGAGGTAAGCTTTCAGACTGCATATCTGAAAATGTGTCTTTTGTCACTTGCTCTGTAGTTTGGTTGGGTATAGAATTGTTGATTAAAAATTATTTTCCTTCAGAAGTTTGAATTAATTGCTCTCTTATCTTCTGGATTTGTTGGACTAATCTAAAGACATTTTGGCTTATCACCTGTGGTTTATTACATGTTTACTTTTTTCTGAAAAGTTATAGTATCTTCTTTTTTTTTTCCCCTAATACTTTGAAATTTCATAACAGTGTGCCATTGTGTGTTCTATTTTAATCCATTATTTTGGGCACCCAGTATGTTCTAACACTTTAGAAATCTGGGTTCCTCATTACAAGGAAATTTTCTTGTATTGTTTCATTAGTGATTTTTCTCTTACCCAACCTCCCCCCCCCCCTTCATCCTGATACTCCCATGATTAAGACATTGGAACCCTGGACTGGTTACCAGTTTTCTTACATATTTCCTCCCATTTCTTACCTCTACCATTTTGTTCGTTTTCTGGTAGATTTTTATCTAATCTTTTTATTCAGCCACTGTTCAGCCTTCAATTTCTATTCTTATCATTTGAATTTACAAGAGTTCTTTTGGTCCGCAAGTTAATGTTTTACCACATCCTGTTCTTATTTTACAGCTACAATAACTTCTCTTATCTCTGAATATATTAAGTCGTATTTTTTTCTCTCTGCATCATCCCTACTTTCTCCAAATTTTTCTTTTCCCCCCTGATTATAATTTAAGATTGAAGACTAAGCAAGTTCTGAGTTTGTAGGAGGGGCTCCTCTGCTGAACTTCATAATAGGATGACCCAATTTAACTGTTTGTTAGATAATTCCCTCATGGTAGTGTCTTTAGGTCATTCTTTTAAGGGTGCTCAGATTCCCCAGAAAACTTTCTTCTTATCTTCTACCCAGAAAATAAGAGGACAGGGGTCCAGTACAGTGGTATTTACATAATCTCTCTGTCTTTGACACTCTGCTTGTCTTCTGCCCTGGTTTCTGTAAGGCCAGAGACCCTCTAGGGCTAGAGAAGGAGCCTCCAGCCTTCTACTAGGTAGAAGGAACATGTCCCAGCCTTTTGCAGTAGAGAGGGCTTCTGGACTTCTGCTTCTTAAACAGACTTTCAATCCATCCTTCTTCATTGTCATCCCTTTCTTCTTCCTTGCCTTCTAAGCTACATGGCACATCTGGTTCCTAAGCTTTTAATGGGTGTATTATAGAGACTGGGGGGGCTTGGGTCTCCTCCACTATTGGGAAACTCGATTTTCTCAGTGCTCCTCTAACACATCTAATGTTCCCCGACACTCTCCAACCTCCTGTGTTTTGTTGTTACTGCCCCTCCCTCAGAGCCCCATCCATGCAGCTTTATACTTTTGTATAAAAGTCCCTTTACTGTCATGTTGGTGGGGCTTCAGGAAAGAGCAAGGTATGTGTCCAATCTGCCACCTATACCCAGAAGTTCATCTTGGTTTTGTATACTTTCACTCTTGTTTGTGCCACCCTTTTGACCTCTCTGTCCCTTCTCTTAGACTATAAGCTCCATGAGGCAAATGGCAGGGTCTTGTTTATCTTCCCATTGCAATTCCCAGCCCTATTGTTCTACATTTAAAAAATTCATCATGGTAAAATATGCATAGCATAGTATTTCTCTCTTTAACCATTGTTAGTGTATAATTCAGTGACATTAAATACATTCAGAATTGTATAGCACTCAAAACTATGTCATCATCCCCAATGAAAACTCTGAAGTTATTTAACCACAAATCCCTTTCCTCTCTCACCTCTGATATTCTTTATTCTTTCTTTCTATGATTTTGCCTATTCTAGGTCTGTCACATAAGTGCATATTCTGCCCTTTTGTGTCTAGCTTTTTAGCTTAGCTAATGTTTGCAAGATCTATCCATGTTGTTGCGTGAGTCAGAATTCTATTGCTTTTTGTGGCTGTATAATATTCCATCACAGCACATTTTAAAAATTCGTTCCCCACCCTTATCTTATTTTTAGTGTATAGGAAAATCCATGGAACATGACAGACATTTAAAAAATACATATTGAATGGTTTCTTCCCTCTGTTGGATCAGGAAAACCGCTTGTCCATGAGAGCCAAGAATTTCTCTACACAGAGCTAAACACTCTGTCCTAGCAGATTTTACAGTAATGCCAGGTTATAATTCAGAAGTTAAATTCAGCTTCTCAAATAACTTTCAGCTCTCGAGTTATATTATCTGCCCCCCACTGCCCTTCTAGATTGGCAGCTCCTGAAGGCAGGGCCAGGTTTGAGCTTAGGAGTGGTGTTACAATGATGTGGCAACTCCCTTACCCTCTAATAAGAAAACTGTACTTAGGACTTTGCAGCCAAACTCCCCCAATCTCCATTCCACATCCTTCTTTTGAAGATTCATTTACATTAGAGTGCTTGTATAAACAGGAAAAGAAGTCATTAAAATGGAAATGGATAAATTTGGAGAGCTTAGCAACCTGAAATGAAATCAGAAAAGGAGAATTTATTCTCTTGGGACATTTGAATTTCTCCTAATGTTCTGAAAGCTGAGAATGAATGGTCATTAAGGGACATTTTGGTTGTCAACAGTTTTTTTTTTGTTGTTGTTGTTTTGGTTGTTGTCATTGGCTTCCTTAAAATAGTTCATCCCTCTTTGTGGAAAGAGAGCCTGGGGAGTCTTGAGCCAAGGCCCCTGAGGCTATTGCTGGCAGAACCTGCTGCCTTCTTAGCTGCCTCTGTGGGCCTCCACCTAGCAGCCAGGATGGTAGTGGTACCATCAGTGATCTCTTTACACTGACACCATTGTAGGTTCCAGACTTCCTGGAACTGGTAGGAGTAGGGAGGCTAAGTTTCTCTTCCTCCTCTCATAAAGCAGAAGAGTCCTACCTACCTGGCAGGGGCCTCAGGGGCAAGCTGCTTATTACCAGGTCTGGTAACTTATCAGGAGGTAACCCCCATTTGGAAAAGGTTAATTGCAATCTTCAACCAGTTAAAGCTTCCACAAACACTCTCTGCAGGTTTGTCAGTTCAAAATCAATTGCAGAGGCTCCTAGGCCAGTCCATCCCCCCTGAAAGGAATGGACTTGCATTATTGAGAGAAAGAGAATCTAAACAGTGTTTGGAATCAGTCCAGACAAGGAATTCTGTACTCCAAGGAGAAAAAGACAAACATCACAATAGAAAGTAGGCAAAGGCTTCAAACAAAAGTGCCTGGAAGTCATCCAGTAAGGCCAGTAATCATGTGGCAAGGTGCTTCACCTCACTAGGGGAAAAGAAAGCACATATTTAATCGTGGTGCTATACACCATGATTAGTCTGGCAGTTATTAAAAAGTGAAAATGTCCCAGCTCTTTCAAGAATGGCTGAAGAGGAGTGGAATGCCTGCTCAGAGGTCCTTGGCGCTCACCCCTAGCACATTAGCCTTCCCACAGAGGATTTTGACCCTGTTGTGTCCAGTGTTATTCGAACTATCACTACACATATAGGTATCTGCTGTTTTGGGGGAGTAAGGAAAATAAACAAGAATTAGTTTAAAGATAGTTATTATTAAATGTTCTCTCTGGTCGCATCTTACTCAAGATCATAGGAATAATGCATATATCCTTGGCAAATTCTCAGCCCACGGAGTGGTTCCCAAACTTTTGTGGGATCATTAAGCAAATGGCTTTTCTTGTCCTGAAGAAGTGCTCTTGTCCCTGGGAAGGGGATTATTCCATAGTGGCATGCTAGGGGTCCCAGCACCATGTTCTAGTATCCCTGAGGAGTCTTAGTAGTGCTTTTGCAACCTACAGGTTGGCCAGCAGATAAGGATCTGCTGGTTGGGAACAGTTTTGGGCTTTAACTTTTTGGAAAATTTTAAAAATATATACACACACTGTGCTAAATATATGTAACACAGGATTTACCATTTTAATCATTTTAAGCATATATTTCCCTGTCATTAAGTACATTCATGTCACTATACAACCATTGCCACATCCATCTCCAGAACTTTCTCAACTTCCTAAACTGAAATTATGTCCATTTTAAACAAGAATGTCCCATTACCTCCCCCCACCTGGCAACCACCATTCTACTTTTTGTCTCTATGAATTTGACTACTCTCAACACCTTGTAAGTGGCATCATACAGAATTTGTCCTTTTGTAACTGACTTACATCACTTAGCATAATGTCCTTAAGTTTCACTCATGTTATAGCATGTGTCAGAATTTCCTTTTCATGATTGGGCAATATTCCATTGTGTGTACGCACCATATTTCGTTTCATCCACTCAGGGATGCTTGGGTTACTCCCATCTTTTGGCTGTTGTAAATAACACTGCTCTGAACATGGGTGTGTAAATGTCTATTCAAGTCCCTGCTGCAATTATCTTTTTTTTTTAAGATTTTTAAAAATTTATGCCTACAGAACTGGGGTACAGGCCAGAGATGCAGGGGTAGTGGGCAGTGAGAGGATTCACCAGAGACAGTAGGAAAACAGAACAGGCAGATCGACAAAGTACACTGCTGAGAGGAGCAACAGGCAGGTCAAGAGAGGTCTGCGGCGCCATGTGGGTCACCTCCAGGTCGGGGATTGAACTCATGCTGAAGTGACTTTAGCTGCTTAGTGCTGTGCTTTAATCCGCTGCACCACCAGGGAAGGCCTGCTGCAGTTGTCTTTAAGAGTATAGGACAGTCCTGAGACCTAGCCCTTCATTTTATCACGAAGTCCAGAAGGGTAGAGTCTGCTCAGTGTCCAGATCCAGTGAGTGAGTAGAATCCAGGGCCAGATTCTTCAGTGGAGATCCTCTGCCCACAGGCCAAGGAGCCCCTTCAGAAGGCATGAGTGTTGGATGTGACTCTGACCTTTCTCCTCTTCACAGCCATGCCCTTTGCTTTCTGTACAAGAGAGAAGCTTCCATGGACGGAATTTGCTGAGTCAGCAGAGGTTGGTCCCACCACTAGGTTCTGTCAGAAGGTAGGACATTAACTACTCTTCTGGCAACGGTTGCCAAACATGTGCAGGTCACAGAGTGCAGCCACGGCTGCCAGCTATGACCCTTCATGGAAAATGTAGCCTTTGGGGGCTTGTTTGGGTAGGTTAGAACAGATAAGACGATCTGCTACCCTTTTCAGTGTACTTTCATTAAACATCATAGTTTCAGAGCCAGAAGGGCCCTTAGTGATTTCTTCAGGTGAGGGAGCTGCAGCCCAGGGTGCCCCGGGGGTGACTCCCATAGAAGGTACTGCGCCAGGGGCAGCACACTGGCAGAACAGGTACCCAGGGACTTGGCCCTTGTCCAGAGTTCTGCCTACTCTGCTAACTGCTTGCCTGAGTTATGTAAGCTGTGCATGAGCTGTCTCATCAGTATAGAAACTGATTTTCATTTTTCTTTATTAAAACCTCATAATACATGTTGTATGATCCCATTTATATGAAATGTCCAAAATAGGCAAATACATAGAGGCAGAAAGCAGATTATTGGTTGCCAGGGGCTGATGGGGAAAAGGGAAGGGAAATGGCTGTTAATGGGTACAGGATTTGTATTTAGAGTGATGGAAATGTTCTGAAATTAGATTGTGATGGTTACAAAGCTCTGTGGATGTACTTAGAACCAGTGAATAGCATAATTTAAAAATGAATTTTATAAATGAAATGAATCTTTTGCTCTGTGGGCTATATCTTAATGAATCTGTAATCAAAAAGATCCATAATGTTCAAAGAGTTTGTGAATGATAACACATCCTTATTCTCACTTCTAACAAACCTCCATTCATTTCTCCAGTTCACATTTCAGACTTTAGGTCTATATTTGGGGAGGGGTTCTGCCATATCTGATCATGGTGATTCCATGAGCTGTGATTCTAGGCATCAGTATTCTCAGGCTAGCAGAGAAAAAATTCTCTCATCCACCAGGTTGTTGATTTTGTGCTAAGGAAAGAAGAGCACTAGTTAGGAGGTGGTTGCAGATGGCACACCTGAGCCAGGATCAGAGGAAGAGAGAAGGCGGGTGGAGTGAGAACTGTGACAGGGACCTTCTGCCCAGTGTACCTTCTCCTCTCCTGTCAACAAAGTCAGTGACAGTCAGGGCTAGTTAGAGCTGAAGACACATGGCCAGCTGGGCTGCCCATCATCAGGTCCTAGTGTTTCCTTTTGAGACAAAAGGAATTAGGTATCAAGGAGTTTTTTTATCCCCCCTATTTTTAGTATAGATGAGAAGTGATATGATTTTCTTTTTTTTTTATTGTGGTTAAAAAAGCATATAACATAAAATTCATCATCGTAACCATTTGTAAGTGTACAGTTCAGTAGTATTATGTATAGTCACACTGTTTTGAACCAGATCCAGAACTGTTCCATATTTTAAGTCTGAAGCTCTGTATTCATTTAACAACTACATTCCAGCCCCAGGTGCTGGAAGCCAAAGTTCTACTTTCACTTTCTATGCATTTGAACACTTCAAATAACCTCACATAAGCAGTTTCATACTGTATTTATCTTTGGTGATTGACTTATTTCACTGAGTATAACGTCCTCAAGGTTCATCCATGTCAAGGATGACATCTTGTGACAAGATTTCCTTCCTCTTTAAGATTTAAAAATATCCCATTATATGGAGAGACCACATTGTATTTTTCCATTCATCCATCAATGCTGGTTTGGATTGCTTTCATCTTTTGGCTGTTGTGAGGAGTGCTGTTGTAGACATGGGTGCAAATATCTCTTGGAAATTCTACTTTCACTTCTTTAGGATACATACCCTGAACTGGACCCTATGATTGTTTCCATTTTTAATTTTTCAGAACTTGCCACACTGTTTTCCACAGCAGCTGCACTATTTTACACCCCTAGCAATAGTGTACAAGATCAGTGATTGTTCCTATTTAATTAAGTTGTGGACATGAGGATTTGCAGAAGCATTTGGTCATGCACATGCAAGTCGTGAACCACAGAGGCCCTTCTGCCTTAAGTTTTGCTAGAGTTCAGGAAGTAGATCCTGTGTCTTAGACGGGGAGGCGTGTGTGGGTTTTCCACACTGTGTACCTGGAACTGCACCAACAAACTCCACCCCCTCAGTTTCTGTAATGGCAGTAAGGGCTACGATATCTGGGGGGTGGGAGAGGGCCGGGAACAAAACCATGAATGCATGCAAGTGAAAGCTCTGAGCCAGAGCTAATGATTGGGTAGGGTCATTGAATTCTTCAATGAAAATTCCATGATTTGGAAGTAAATGTTGATATTTTATCATTTTTCCAGTTGGCAAAGAAGCATGACATGGTGGTGGTGTCGCCCATCCTGGAACGAGATGAAGAACATGGGGACGTCTTGTGGAATACGGCGGTGGTGATCTCCAACTCTGGAGCCGTCTTGGGGAAGACCAGGAAAAACCACATCCCCAGAGTGGGTGATTTCAATGAGGTGAGCTGTCCCTCAGGTGACCAGCCCAGCTTTCATGCCTTCTGCATGCAGATCTCTGTGGGCCTCTCTGTAGGGAGGTTCTCTCGGACCATGTCACCTCTGTAGTGCTGGGACACAGTGTGGCTCACTGGTCAGGGGCCTCTAGGCACTGCCTTGTGTCACAGCGGCAGATGGGATGTAGGTGGTTCACCCAGGTGAATCATTTTGCACTGGTCTTTTTCTTTAATATCACCTGTATAGGCTTCTGAAAAAATTTTTTTAAATAATCAGTATAGAAATCAAAACCAAAATAAATAGCACACACACGTGAAATGACTCCTGCAGTCCCTCAGACTCTAAACCCACTCCTCACAGCCTAGTCTTAGGGCTTGGGGTCCTTTTCATAGCTCAAGAGGGGTCCTAGCCATGTCCACCTGCAGAGTGACAGTGGGAAATGTGTGTGTTGGTGAACCTGTGTGTTAGATGGGGCTTGATGCCTATGATCAGAGCATGCCAGGGGAGCTTTCTGAATGGTTAATTGAAGGGAGCAGACATCTGAAGGAAGGAAGTGAACTCCACCTAATACCTAAGATAGGAAATCTGAGCTTGATCTGCTGTATATGCAGTTGCCCAGGGTGTGGTGTCCCCAGTCCTTCACGCCCCTGCTCACTTGTGCTGTTCCCGGCCACTCTCAGACTGGTCAGGAGACAAGAAAGGGTCTGCAGAGCTAGCTGAGATTCCTGGGAAGAAAGAAGAACCCCGTGTTTCTCAATAACAGTTGGAGGCGGGGGTGGGAAGACAGGTCCCTGTTTACCCTAAGATTAATCTTTAGCTCCCTGCAGATAGTGAAGAACTTGTCTCAACACACCAGGATCTGTTCCAATGTCCACCATGTGTACATCCTAATTGCTGCCTGGCCCTTGCAGGTTTGAATTAATAGGAGAAGGCAAAATACTTGGGAAAAGATCTGTTCAGGACCTGAATAGCCCTCTACCTCTCTACTGCCGTCCCTGAAAATGTTCCAGAGCCAGCACCCTGAGGGGCAGGCAGAGAGAGAGGATGACAGGGCTGGGGCCTACCTGCCTGCTCGGCACTGGCAGGGACATCCTTAGCCTCCTGCACACAGAGTTTGAAGAACATGTCTGGGGGGGAGTTCAGCAGCTGGGCAAGTCATATTCTCCTCACACTACATTCTCTTTCTAGAGCAAAGCGAGGGTTACCAGAGAGCAGCTCTCAGGCATGTGTGTTTGGTGAGGATATTGACCAATGCATACCAAGGTTGACCAGACCTTAGCCTTCAGTTGTACCGTGATTGAAATCTAACCAGTTTATCCTTAAAATACTGTGGGAAGTATGTTTGGAAACTTTTTTTTTTTGACATGTCATGCAAGAAATTGTGGATAAATGTTTAAACCATAGTGGATTACCCCTTGGTTTGATTTGCTGAGATTGTGTCTGGGTTTGTTTGTTTGTTTATTTGTCCTCTTATTTTGTTTTGGCCTTTGAGTGTATCGAAATTTTGGGACTTAAAAATCGTCTCATACCTGGAGTTTAGGATTTGACCCCTACTCCCTGAAAATACTACTGAGAGTATTTCATCTTTTCTGTAAAGTGTAAGACAAGGGAAAATTTACACCTCAGAGGCTTCAATGTATGGCCCTTTGTTTTGCAGTCAACTTACTACATGGAGGGAAACCTGGGCCACCCTGTGTTCCAGACTCAATTCGGGAGGATTGCAGTGAACATTTGCTATGGGCGACACCACCCTCTCAACTGGCTTATGTATAGCATCAACGGGGCTGAGATCATCTTCAACCCCTCAGCCACCATCGGCGCACTCAGGTAGCTCTGCAGGCAGGACCTGGGGAGCTTCTCAGCTGTCCCCTTAGGCCTGAGGCTGGGCTGAGGGCTTGGAGACAGCAGCCAGGCATCACCATCAGGTCTCCCACGTACCTGAGCCCTGGGATTGCATGTTGTGTATTTAGCCAGTCTTTCCCTGAAGAGAAGTACTCATAAGTGACAGTTACAGTTCCCCTAAAGAGCTGCTCTGCTATAAAGTATCAACCTTTGCCACAATTGTGAACATAGATAATAACAATCTCCCAATCCCTCAGTACCCCAACTGTCAGGATTTTAAAAGCTCAGCTTATAAAGTGGCCAGTGACTCATCAGTGCCCGGCCTAGAGAACTTCCCTCCCAGTCACAGCTCTGTGTGCTCCTGGAAGAGCAGGGGGAGTAGGGGCTGAATTCCAAACCTTCCCAGCATTGGGAGAGGCCAGACATTTAGATAAGAGAAGGGACAAATGAGGGGCTTGGGTCTGAGAAGATCCTTAAGAGATCTGTCAAGCAGCTCTGAAACTTACTCTTAACCAGCAGGATGTTCTCTTATTCTAGCACCTATATGCATTTAGGTGTTAGTCTAAACCTGCAACAGATAAAGCTTCTGACCAAGGTGGTGGGGTGGGCCCAGCAGTACCTACATTCCTGGGAGGACCCTCTTTTAATTAAAGCAACAAGCGAGACGACCCAGCGGGACTGCACTGCTGGCTTGCTGCTTCTTCTCCAAAGGCTGAACATTTGGGTGGTTTCCAGTTTTGTATCATCACAAGAGCCTGAGCTCTAGACACGTATGTGCAAATATCTTTCTCCCAACTCACTTCCTCCAAAGCAGGACTCCTGGATAGGAGATGCTTACTTTCATTCCATTACATTTCATTACTTTTCATTCCTGGACTATCCGGCAGGGCAGGGCTAGGGGTGGGAGTGTCCCACTCTGTTGGGAGGAGCGGGGACAGCTGAGGCCCTTGGGGAGTTTTGCCTGACACTTTTGAGTTCCCTGCTGGTCCATACCTCTTGTCCTTGCTCTTGACTCAGTTTAGTCAAATTTCTTCTAAAGATCAGAATGTGATGGTGATGTTTACCTAAAAACTTTCTCTTTTTTTGAGCATGGTGTCCCCTTCTCATGAGTGGTATTCCCTCAGCATTCTGATCTGCAGAGCAGAACCCTTACCATAGTAGGATGCAAACTCTCTTTGCTACCTTGTGTCTGTCAAAGGTTTTTGTGTTCAGGAGAAAAATCATGCCTTGGCTCTCCCCTGGGGCTCTTAGGGCATCATGGCAGCCAGACCCCTTGGGCAGCATCCTCTAGCAGTGTAATATAGAGGTTACTGATTATGCAGCTACCGGCCCACCTCCTAGAGCAGCCCCCTCCTGCTTCATCTCCCCACAGGAACCTGCTGAGCATCTGGGCCCGAACTGAACTGGCCATTGAGCCACGGCAGGCAAAACTGCAGCCTCAGACTCAGCTGGCCACCTCCCTGACCCCACTTCCTCAAGCTTTTATTAGGCCCAATTAAGCAAACAGAAGCACCCTGATGTAATATACACACAACTGCTTATGTCCTCAGCAGCCTATTAGGCTTATTAAAAATTATTGATTTTCCTTCCTCAGCCAACAATCATCCAACTTGTGCCTTTCAAGGGTGTGGCAAGGCTGGCAGTTAAAACAATAGCAGGTCTTTTCGAAAGCAGTATTTTTCATTCTCTAGCCAGACATTATTCTCCTAGTACGTAAGCTTGAGGAAATATCAGAAGAGAAGGCTATACCCGTGAAGATGTTTCTGGCAGCGTTATATGAAAAAGGAAAACTGGAAGTGAGAGAAATGTCAGGGTTAGGTAAATTTTAGCCTGTTTTCCATGAGCTGGGAAGATGATGCAGCAACATGACAAAAGCCCATAGCAAAAAAAAGTTTCCAGGCTGTGGTCAGAGTTCTGCAAAATTTTTTACTAAGAATGTTCATGGGGTGTGGAAAATTTACAATGGGTGGCTTCTTAGTGGGTTTCAGAATGCACCTCTTAAAATTAGTTGTTAGTGGAGTTATGAGTCTTCTTTAATCTGATGCGGGGCTAGTCCCCGCTAGCTACTCAGGTGCCGGACCACAGCTTCCAGAGCCCCTGTCCCTTTTCTGGTGACTCCTACCCCCATATTAGATACATGCACCCACATACACACTACGGGGTGACACTGTGCCCTTGCCCATTTTGGAATCTCAGCGTTCTAAACACACAATAGAATCAAAGTGCTTTTTGATGAACTGAGTCAGTTTGACCATTCATGAAACCTGAGTGGTCTCAGATTTCTGCCCCATATCTATGTTTATCAGAAAGTTGTCTCCAATCCCCTGGTCTCATTTTATCTTCCCATTGTGATTATCCTTAGGGGCTTGTGTACACCACACTGGGAAGAGGACAGATGTCCCCAGGCCCCCAGCAGGCTCCCCTTGACTCTTGCACTCTCACAAACCTCTCCTCCCTTCCCCTTGCTTGCTTTAAGAGAACAAGTTTTACTGCCAGCTGTGAATCTGAGTCCTACGCAGCATACCCTCCCTAGAGAATTGCAAGAAAGATGTTTTATGGCACTCGCCCTGCAACTGTCTATTTAATTCCTGAAAATGTCAATTACGGGCGTGTTTCTGTAAAAATCCTTTCTTAAAAGTTTTGTCAGCTTGGCTTAGCAGCTGGGGTGGGGGGAAGCAGCAAAATGAGTCCCCTCAATCAAGCCTGTGATTTTTTTTTTTTCCAGACTCGTGAATCCTCCTGAGAATTAGGCTTGTGACAAGCACCCACCCCCTCCACCTACTCCCTGGTTTAAACCAGGTGCATGCTGACAGGAAGGAAGATTCCAGGACATTTTGCTCCCAGTCACTCAGTGTTTCTAAGTGGGCATTATGCCTGTCAATCCAGAATCTTAATGATGTTGTTCCTTAGACAAGAGATAGTTAGTGACAAGAAGACCCACTGAATTCCATGGCACAATTTAGTTGGTGGGCTGGAAAAGGACAGGCCTCCAATTGGGGTGAGGTTCCCCCTCACCACCTCCTCCCCTTTGTGAGTGCTGGACTAAGAAAGGCTCAGAGTTCAGCCCTGCCTGAGGAGTGGCTCCTTCCCAGACCAGTGAGAGAACCAGGGGTTCTCTATAGAGACTCAAGATTCAGGAGAGGAGAACAGGAAGGCGCTTGGGAACCCAGAGCCAGCTCAGGAGAGGTGACCACTGCTGCAGAACTGTCTTCCCCTGATACTTAAATTCCTTTCAAGTTTATTTGTTTATACAACCTAAATCTCCCCTTGTGGAAACTGCTTTGGCAAGGCAACACAGCAGAGTAGGAATGAGGCAGGCAGTACCTCCATTGGCCACCAGCAAGGGCCCCACCCCAGCTCCTTCCTGTCTCTCACCTGGCAAGGCTCTGCTTACCTGACTGGGCAGAGGGAAGGAGATGAGAAGTAGCTGTGGTGGTATGGAGCTCCTGCCCCACAGCACCCTTTAGAAGCATCAACGGAATGTTAATTCGTTCTTCACAATCTCCCTTGAGAAAGCTTCAGAAAAGGAAACTTGAGTCTCAGGCAAGGAGCTGATCCAGGACTGTTCTGTCTGCAGCAGGCCACCCCAACAGCCTGCATGGCCTTGAGCATGGCTGACGGTTTGGGGTTACCCATGGACATGAGTCTCTTTGGACACCCTGAGGAGGCCAACAGCTGGCTTAAGCCCCCAAGTAGTCTGGCTGCAGAGTCAGCAACCAGGTTCTTCCCCTTCCTCCCTCACAGTGAATCTCTATGGCCCATTGAGGCCAGAAACGCAGCCATTGCCAATCACTGCTTCACCTGTGCCATCAACCGAGTGGGGGAGGTAAGTCCCACCCAGCTCTATGGCTCTGTCACCAGGGGTACTGGGGCAGAGACAGACAGATAAGCTGCTGGCAAAGCTGCCTGCAGAGAGGAGGGAGGCCCCTTAGGCCACCAGCAGCCAGTGGGGAAAGCCATGGGCGGGGGGGGGGAACTTGGCAGCCCTCCTCTAGCTACTCTCTCTGCATGCCACAAATCTAAGAGTTACAGATGGGGAGAAACTGACTTGGCCTGTTTCTTTTGGGATATCACTATGTTACTCTGTTTTCAACGAGACCATGTTGAACAGCTCTCATGCTGTTAACACCAACTATCCAGTTTCATATTTCTCCCATGTCTTGCTGTGGATCCCATGCACTGAACGAGTCTGACCAACACACACCATGTGTTTATTATGTAATAATCCTATTCCCCATTCTTATTAAGGAGATGTCAAACTCTAATAACAGCACCTCATCAGTCTGAGATAGTTTCTACACTGAAGACAGCCTAATTCTGGCGACATAAAGAGACTCAGTGTTTTAGTTAGTCTGTAACTCCGCTACAGGTTGGTGTGTGTTTTCATTAAGCTTTGGGGAATGTTGAAAACTGTGTGGACACCCTCTTACCTCCTTCACAGACCTGGGGCTGGAACTTTATCACTCTGGCTGGCGCTGTTAGCCTTCCACTGGCCTCAGAACCACTCAGTGCCCGAAGTCTTTTCTCCCGGCAGATTATAAACTCCCCAGCGGCAGTCTGGGTCTTCACCTTGCTTGTCAGATTCCCTGCTGGTCTGGCCACCTGCACTTGCTCATTACTGGGTGCTCAGCAAGGACGTTTAATAAGGACTTGTTGATAGCCCAGCGAGCACAGGCCCTCTATGTTGCTAACTATTAATATTTCTTACTAAGCCGCCTCAGCCTGACTTGTGATGAACAGAGTGGTAGTGCCACCTATAGGTGTATCTTACATTGGTTTTATTTCACAGGAGCTTTTCCCAAATGAGTTTACCTCTGGAGATGGAAAGAAAGGTACGTTGCATGAATTTTCATGGTGTTGCACCTGAGGAAAGGTCCCCACCATTCCCGTCTCCATCAGCCTCCTCCAGGGAGGGGCTGCCCCGTGTACCACTGGGCTGACTTCTCTTTTCTTTGTTGTCCACAACTGGGGAGGCTGAGTATGGCCGAGCCTTGGACAGGCAGTCCTGGGCTTGCAGCCACCTCATTCTCCAATGGGGATGGAATGAAGATTGGATTCCATTCCTCCCCCCGAGGGACCTGTGTGAAGATAGGCTGAGAAGACATGGGAGAGTCCTTTGTGTGCTCCCTGAAAGAGGGGCGTGTTTCATCTACCCCGCAGACAGCTCTCCCTCCCTCCTTTCCTCTGTCCTTGTCTACCTCCTGGCAGCTATTTAAAAAAAAAAACAGACACCGGCATAGATTACTTCAGGTTCCTAGAATCCACAGCCTATTTTCACTCACATGATGGCAAGTATTGCCTCACTTCAGCTGTGAGGCCTCCCCTGCTGGTCCCACTCTCTGGCCCAGAATGTGGGAGGGAGGGACAAAGAGATTTCTGAACAAGCCTAAGCCCCTGCTTGGCTCAGCACTGCGTTCACCTGCTCCCGATGCACCTTTGGGGTGGCTCCTCAAGTTAGCCCCACTTCCCAAGAGCGGCAGGAGAGTGAAGGTGACAAGCTGGCAAGGCCAGGGAGGACAGAGCCGCCAGCTCACTGTGTGGCCACTGCAAGAAGCAGGTCCACCGCAAGAAGCAGGTCACACAGGAAGCCCCCAAGGAGCCATATGGTGTTCTTGTGCTGTAACTAATGTTGAGAGCAAAGAACCAAAACACCTCTACAGAGGTGACCTTTAGAAATATCCCCAGGCCAGAGGCAAGACTGTGAGGATGACTTACAGCAAACTTGCTGGGCCTTCAGCCTGAAGAGAGACACAATCCTTAAGGCTTCAGCATTGGGCAGTTGCTGGGGAGAGTGGCACGGCCGGCCGGCCCTCTCGTTCTGGGTGTCAGGGTTCCTGGCTCGGTCTTCACGGTTGATGGTGATGGTGGTTTCCTTCGCTCCTCCAAAGCTCACCAGGACTTCGGCTACTTTTATGGCTCAAGCTATGTAGCAGCCCCCGACAGCAGCCGCACTCCCGGGCTCCCCCGCAATAGGGACGGTTTGCTGGTTGCTGAACTCAACCTCAACCTCTGCCGACAGATGAATGATATCTGGAACTTCAAGGTGAGCCCGAGTCCTATAGTGTTGCCCTGTTCCTCCTTTTCCTACACCCCGCCACCCCCAACCGGGAACTGCCTCTGTTGCTTTGCCCTCACGCCAGGCCATTCCTGTGTGGCTCTGATCTGAGATGAGCAAAAAAGGCCCAGGTCTGTGCCTCTCTGGCTCCAGCCTTCCCAGCCAGGGAGGAGCGTCTGGGCCAAGCACTGCCCAAGCAGCAGGTCTCATCTCTCATCTGATTTACATGCAGAGTGCCTTCTGCCAAATTAATCTCAATTTCATTTGTCCAGAGAATAAAATAGATGGACTTTTCTAATCCTTTTTGCCTTTCCAGGCATTTACACTTATCACAAGATAAATATGCATGTCTGGTTCTGCCTGTGGCCAGACCACACCATCTAGGCCTTGATGAGGGAGGGAAATAGAATTGCCGAGAAGTGGAATCTAGGCCTGGCTCTTCCGTGACCTTGCTCGCTAACCTCAAGCAAGTCTTCTCTGCCTCAGTCCTTAGTACCATTGACCCTTGAACAACGTGGGGTTTGGGGCATTTATCCTTCCCACACACCCACCCACAGTTGAAAAATCCACATAGAAATTTTTTTTTTCACTTTTTACTGAAGAGAGGAACTGCTCACACAGTGATCAGCATCACACAGCTTTTTTTTTTTTAAGGTTTATTTATGCATAGAAGAACTGGGGTACAGAAGTGCGGAGGGGGGGGAGAAAGGGTTCACCAGAGACAGAGTGAGGAGCAGAACAGGCAGATTTACTGACATAAACTGCTGAGGGGAGCAGCAGGCAAGTCAGGAGAGGTCTGCTATGCCATATGGGTCATCTCCAGGGTGGAGATAGAACAGGCTGCAGATAGCTTCATAGTGCTGTGCTTTAACCCCTTGCACTACCAGGAAGGCCCCCAACTTTTTCGGTATATAAGGCAACACTTGAATCCACCACAAGAGCAGCAGGAGGTGGCTACAAAGTCACCACAGTGTGCAGACAGTTAATTTTACACCGCTATGGTTTAATACTGCAGCTCTACATTTGTGTATTTTTGTCAACTGTGAATAGCACTGTGTACAGTCTGTGTATGCACAAGTTTTGATAAATTTTGACTTCATAATAATTTGTACATATTTTTTTAAAGATTTATTTATGCATATAGAACTGGGGTACAGACCAGAGAGAGGTGCAAGGGTGGTGAGAGGATTCACCAGAGAGAGTGGAGAGCAGAACAGGCCAACTGATGAAGAACACTGCTGAGGGGAGCAGCAGGCTGGTCAGGAGAGGTCTGCCTCACCATGTGGATCACCTCTGGGACGGGGATCGAACTCATGCTGAAGTGGCTTTAGCTTCTTAGTGCTCTGCTTTAACCTCCTGCACCACAGGGAGGGCCCAGTTTGTACATATATTATGGTTGTAAATGGTAGACTACTATCTACATGTATTTTATGTACTCATCACATACCTTAATTTTTTTCAATATGTCTAGGCTATATGCCTACATGCCAGAAATCTTAAAAAGTATTTCCAGTTATTGAAAAACATCTGAATGAACCCACACAGTTGAAACCCATGTTGTTCAAAGGTCAACTGTAGTCCACCGTATAAAACAAGAAACTTACCTTGGAGACCCCAAGTGACCTTTGAGCCTTACTGCCTGTGACACCAGGGGTTGTGAGAGGAGTGTGTGTCCACTCTCCTGGAATGGCACCCATGGCCTGGTAGCCTCCAGACTGTGGCATCTCATCATGACTGCAGTTTCCTATGTTAGTGCTGGACAGTAGTTCCAAAATTTTGTGCCCAATTTTAAGTAAATTATATATGCAAATAAGTGTCACATTGTCACAACTGACTAACTCTGCCCACATGTCTGGGAGGAACTAGGACTTCAGATCCAACCTGGGATGTGCTCCAGGCTGGTTGCCCCCTGTATCAAGGGTCCTTGGGCATGTTCCATGTCTCAACCTACCTCTACTTCTCCTAGGAAGCTAAGATTAATGCAAAATTCCATGCAAATTAGAAGTTGGAACCAAGAAACAGAATATAGGTTTCTCTTTAGAAACTTTTGTTTGTTTGCTTTCATTAGATTTAAAAAAAAAAAGGCGAACAACTGGACTATGGTGATGGCACAGGGTGATTTGGTGATGGGAAGCCCACGAGGATTACAACTGAGATGGAAAAAGGCACAAAATGATGTAAAAATAAACAGTTATATTATTTTAAAAACAAACAAACAAAAAAAGGGCAGCAAATAGTGCCCTCACATTCTTTACTTTGCTTCTAAGTAGCTTCACTAACGCCCCAAATCTTATAGGGGCGTTATGCACCCTCCAGTGCATCCAACCTTCTATATTACAAGAAGTGTCCAAACCCTAGCCCCAATTTCAGGGGAAGTGCAGAAGCCCACAACCCCACTCAAATACTCCCTTAAAGAGCACCTAAATGCAAAGGGAACCCACACATTTTGTAACCTGGCCCCAGCAAACCACCACCTGCCCTGTGAAATTCTTAAATCTAGATACTCCCCCAAAGCACTCACTGTGAGCCCTGCCCCTTAAGGAGGAAGGATTTTCTTTAGAAACTTAAAAAGTAGAAACTTTCCCAGTCTATGCTTGGTGATCTGCATGAGTCCTGTGGAAGTCTGGTAAAGAGGAAGAGGATTATGGAGGGGGAAGGAAGAATACTGGGTATAAGTACCCTGGGTGGACTGTGTAGCCCTGTGCCCTCCCTCTCCCAGCCTCTATGTCTGTGGTGATGCCATGTGGAATGAATCCTTAGACTCAGATCCAGGAGACCAGTGTGCAAATTCTGACAAACTCCATTCCTGACTGGTGACCTGGAGCAGGCTGGCTGTGGGCTGCCCTCCTGGGGTTCTGTAGGACTGCAGGACAAGCCTTCTCCCTCCTATACCACGCAAGAACACACTGAGACCTTCATGGAGGAGGAGCCAGGGGGTATGAGTCATCTGTGACCTTTGCCAGGGGCCACAGGATCACAGATGTTTCAATTTGACTTGTCTTCCTGAAGCGTCTCTGTCCCGTGGCTGCCCTCTAGTGTCGAGAGGTGGTGGTGAGCAAGTGGTAAGTGTTTTTAAAGGAGGAACCTCTTAATTTATGTCTATTTTACTTTCAGATGACTGGCAGATATGAGATGTATGCCCAGGAGCTTGCTGAAGCTGTCAAACCAAACTACAGCCCCAATATTGTGAAAGAGTAGCTTCCCAGCAAGAGAGGCACGCGTACCCCAGCAGGGGAGCACATGCAACCGACTTGACAACTCCAAGCTCTCTCCCTAATGGTGCCCTGGTAATCTTGATTGTTTTAAACATGCCCAGGCAGAGAGGGTAGACTGATGAGTGACTGCTTAGTGGGTATAAAGCGCTCTTCTAGGCTAACGAAACTGCCTGCATAGAGGTGATGATTCCCCAAACATAGTTAACATACCAAATGCTACTGAACTATATACTTGAAAATGACTGCTTGCATTGTTACGTGAATCTAGTTAATAGTGAAGGTTAATTTGTAGTTAGACACATGGGACACCCTCCTTGTAAGACTCCACTTCCCTGTTGAGACCATCAGCAGTTTGAGGGTCACCATGTGAGTATGTGTTGGTTTGAGAGGCGAGGCTGGCCCAGGGTCACTGCACCTGCCAGATGGCTGTGGCAGAGGGGGCCATCTGTGTCCACTTGTGAGACCACAGTAGTTATTTCATCAAATGCTAACCTGGGTGTTGCTGCAAAGATATTTTATAGGTTTGATTATAAGTCCATACCCAGCTAATTAAGCAAGTGACATTATCCCAGATAATCCAGATAGGCCTGATTTAGTCAACTTAAGACTTAAGAGCAAGCCTGAGGCTTCCTCATGAAGAAGAAACTTCTGCCTGCACACAGCAGCTTCCACCATTGCCTGGGGCTTCCAGTTTTCCATTCCTTCACTCCCTGCCTTATAGATTTCAGACTTGTATTTCCAACTTTCACAATCACTTATGTTGATTCCTTATAATAAATCTCTTGATATATATATCCAACTGATTTTACTTCTGATTGGACCCTGACTGATACAGATTCTGATATCAGAAGTGGATCTAAAGGAACAGAATCTTAAAGATGAGTTTTCTGCGTGGACAAGTTTGGTTCTAGGTTTTTCTGGAATCCTATCTAATTTCATTGGATTTAAAATCACTTAGGATTCCTGCCCTTTCTTGTGGCCTGCCCTATTTGTGGATTTGGGGTTTGTTTAACCAGCCCCCATCATCATGCAATGCAATTCCTTGCACTAAACTTATCTACATATATCCCATGTGTATGTGTATAGATATGTGTATGCATATCGATACATATTTTCTGTTATAATAATCATACTACAAATACACATATGATCTATATTTTTAAAAAATGTATAACACACATGGCCATGATGAACAGCCATATACCAGAGACATTTTGTGGAGGTGGAGTGGGGAATGGGATCAAAAACAGTAGGGGGAGGGAAGTGCAAAGGACTATGGTGATGGCACACAGGTGATGGGAAACCCACAGGGATTACAATTGAGATGAAAAAAAAATGTACAAAATGATGTAAAAATAAATTGTTATATTATTTAAAATATATATATATATACATGGTCATGTGTCTAATATGTATGACTACATACATACACATATTAGGCCTGCCTGATGTGACAGGTTACCCATTTCTCTGTGCCTTGGTTTTCACATCTGTAAAGTGAGACCATGTCCTCTGTTCCACTTTTTGTCACAGGATGCTGGTAAGAGGCAGATTAGATGGACCAGGAAACCCCTGGGCTGTGTGAGTTCAGTGCCTGCCCTTTGCACAATGAGAGTTCAGCCTGCCAAGTCTCAGACCTCCACACTGACCAAAGCATTAGAGGTGAGAGTGGGGCCCTTGTAGTCCCCAGTCACAGAAGCAGCCTGGTCCTTCACTGTGCAGCAGCTGGATTGCATGGACAACCCATGCCAGGGTTAGGATGCTCCTGGACAGCAACCGGGGGTAAGAAAGCTGGATGGAGCAATCTGACCATAATGCTGGATTAAGCCACTTGCTCTCTTTCAATAGGCCTTTCAGATCACCTGACAATCCTTTGTACCTTACTTTGTCATCCAGCCCTGCAGACATAGTGAGCTCTTCTGTTCAGCCATCAGTGTCTAAGGAGGTGTAGAGACCAACTTAGGTAATCAGTTGGTGCATTTATAGAATAAGCTCTAATATGCCAGAAGCAATTTGATTATCCATACCTCTCACAGCATGTCAGTGAGACGGTCAGGCTCATCTTAGAGTAGGCAGGTCCTCTACAAATGGTGCCATTTGAAGGTTTAACTCATGTTTGTACTGTGCAGATGCTCAACACGTGTTTGTTGAATAACCCTGAGGTAGAATTTGTTGTTTCAAAGTGATCATTGCTGTGCCACAGGAGAGAACTTGAGAGTTCAGTGCACTGGCTCTATGGCCCATTGGCTCTTGTGTAACTTTGAGGTGAAGGCTTTTGACCTCTCTGGCCTTCAGTTTTCCCACCTCTAAGGCTAGAGGTGGGTGTGTTTGATACTCTGCAGTTCTGTGGGCAGCATGCCTGCCAACCTGTGACTTCACTGCTAGAATGGGTGGGGGGGAACATAGGGGTCAGGAGGATGATGGCAAGACCACAGTACATCTAACAGAAAGAAAGGCGAAGGCCTTCTCAAGGATAGGCTATGTTAGGCCACAAAACAAGGCTTAATAAATTGAAAAGATTGGGCCTTCCAATCCCTGAGCTTAATCCCTGAACAAAGAGTTAAGTCTCAGCATTATCAAGCTATTGGCAGCCACCGCAGCAGGAGTTCGATCTCCAGCCACGGAGGTGATCCACATGGCACAGCAAACCTGTGTATTTTCCCACAGCAATGTCAGTCAATCCACTTGTTCTCTTACCCACTGTCTCTGCTGAATCTTCGCACCCCCATACTCTGGCCTGCACTCCAGTTCTTGTATGCATAAATAAATAAAATAAATCTTTAATAAATAAATTGTAAAATAGTGAAATCATATGAAGTATCAGGATACAAAGTCAATATACAAAAATCAGTTGCATTTCTATACAGGAAGAATGAACAATTTGAAAAGGAAATTAAAAAAAACTATTCTTAACCCCTGGTGACCTAGAGGTTAAGTATCAGCACTGTCACCATTACAGCCTCAGTTTGATCCCTGGCCAGGGAAGTGACCCACATATGGCACAGTAGACTTCTCCTTTTTTCACCCACTGCTCCCTTTAATGTATTTCAGTAAAATCTGCTATTCTCTCCACACTGTCTCTGGTGAATCCCCTCACCTTCCCACCCTACCCCACCCCTCCACCCCACACACACTCTGGCCTACACCTGAGTTCTTCTATGCAATAAATAAATCTTTTTAAAAATAAAGAATATTTTCTTTTTTAAAAAGACAAAAGGAAGCATAATTCTTTTGTTTTTTTAATTTTTTGTACATCTCGATTGTAATCCCCGCGGGTTTCCCATCAAAAAATCACCCCTGTGCCACCACCATAGTCTCGTGCATTTCCCTCCCT